GAAAAGGCTAACCTTTTTTTTTTTTTTCTCCCCGTATTTTAAAGTTTTTTTTTTAAAAAAAAAAAAAAAAAAAAAAAAAAAAAAACAAAAACCACAACCCTCAGGACATTACTTTTCAAATTTCTATTTTAGTTACAGAACCTAGTTTATATCAATTAGTATTTGTAATAGCAAGGCAGTACTGAACATGAAGTGATCTCTCTCTGGGAGGGAGGGAAAGACAGGAAAGACTTTTTTTATTGTTAGATGCATCAGGTCTGCAGGGAAGCATTCCCAGTTCTTTTACCCAAGAAAGCAAGGCATGGGATGAACAATAAAACGCCTGGCACTTGCCAGGTTTCTTATAGCACAAAATCATGTTAGTTCCAGTCTATTCTGGAGAAAATCAGGTTAGTGATTTAGCTAGAGAGGAATAAAACACATTTACAAATAATTTCACTGCCTTGTGCCACTCATCTGTGCAACAGACACTGTAGTATAGGCAGCAGAGCTACCATACCAGCAGTGCAGGAGGGAGAGGGCAGGGGACAGCAGCAGTCAAAGCTGTGACCTACAGGAAGCTTGGCAGTGGGGACCCATGTGTGCCTGAGAACACCGAGCAGCTCCAGCCCCTCCTGCACATCCTCTGCCCTGCTTGCCACAGCACAGGATGCTTTTAATCAACTTTTTCAGGGCAGTAGAGACTGTGCAATGTTGGAGGACATCCTTTCAGCTCACTATTTAGGTGACATGTAGGTGGAATGTAGAAGAATAAATCTGGGTAAATTCTGAATTTACCTTTACAGATACATATATTTTTTGCAGGGCTCAAATTTTCTACAGAGTGTTTGTGTGCTGAGTTGACCAAATCCAGCCAAAAGCATTTTGCTAAATTCACTCATTTTAATGTCTTCAGTTTAATATACTGCAGTTAACTTTCCATTTTACAGCCTTGTTTTCAACCAAGAGCAGTCATAATGTCCTCTGATGTCCTCACCTGCCTCAGTGAGTGTACACTTGTATCTCTAAGGTGGGTTAGCACTGGCTAATGGCCAAACACCCACCGAGGTGCTCTCCCACTGTCCCTTCTCCCCAGTAGGTCAGTGAAGAAAATAAGATAAAAAGCTCATGGTTAAGATAAAGTCAGAGAGATCATGTACCAACTACCACCATGGGCAAAACAGACTCAATTGGGGGGAAAAGAATTTAATTTATTATCAACTAAAATAGATCTGGATGGTGAGAAATCAGGGCACAAATTAAAAACCACCTTCCTTCCACTCCAACCCCTCTTCACAGGCTCAACTTCACTTCCTCATTCCCAAGGGGCTAACTTGTTCACAGCTCCTGTCTGGTGTTCCTTCCTCCTCACACCTTTCCCCTGCTCCAGTGTGGTGTCTCCACAGGCTGCAGGGCACTATCTGCACTGCTGTCTGTAGCACTGTCTCTCCCTCTATCAATGACTTTGCTGTTCTCAGGGCTGTTTCACACCCTTTTTCTCCTTATTTCTCTGCCTCTCTGCCATTTTTGCCCTTTCTTAAGTATGTTTTCCCAGAGGCATGAGAGTGGGGCTCAGCTGTTTCCTATGGTGGTTCTTTGGAGCTAGGTGGATCCATTTGCATCAGCATGGGACAGCCTCAGCCTCTTCCCTCAGAAGCCACCACTGTGGCCCATTGTTGTCAACACCTTTCCATACAGTTTCCTACTTCTCAAGACACTGTTATCAACAGCAGGCAGCATGAAGGGTATGGACCTATCTCCTTTCCTCTCTACATCATACCACTTCTCTGATTAAACTGATCATTATGTCAGGGAAGACAAGGGGAGGGAAGAGAAGAATAGAAGCTACACAAGAAGCAAAGCAACATAATGAATGGTCCAAGAATGTTGTTATTTTCCTTATTCTACCACAATTCCCTTCTCAGTTTTACAAGCAGATGACTCTTCTGATCCTCACCATCTCTTTGGTTTAACTCTGTCAGTGACTGAACTGTGCTCCCACAAAAACTATTTTCATTTTCAGTTTGTCTTACTACATCCCAGTTTAGGAGTCTTGCACCTATCATCTTCTAATAGATGAAAGAAAATGTAAGAGTTCTTCAGTCTTCTGAGTATCTTCAAAGAAAAAAGCAAAAAACATCATACTAATGTACCAAATTGTTATATTTCAAATCCATCACTTTATTTTGGCAGAAAGCACACATACACACTCATACACACACACACACACACAGACACATGCACATACCTTCTTTGAGATATGCTCAACAAATTTTTAAATACTCATTTCATTTATTGTCTTTCGTGCACTTCAATACCTTACATACATCCTATATACAGTGTCTTCATTCATAAAAGAAACACATTTCATAGTAGTTTGGCATTCAATATATTTTCAGTAAATGATTCAGGATTTCAAGTTGATAAATATCATTTTAGATCTTTCTCTTGGCTGCTCAGCACTGTCGTAACTCAGATATTTGGGTGTGTGCAGAAGCAGAACTTTATGGGTTCTGGAAGCCTTGGGCATCTACTGACTTTGTTGATCCCTGTGGTTTTTAGCTAAACTGCAATGACTGTTAATGATCTATCACTGGATCTGAATGTCTGCATTGCTTTTAAAGTAGAGGTATCAATTCCTTTCTTTAAAATCTGTTTTTGAATTTAGTCATAAACTTAAAAGACGTTTATTCTGAATGTTGTCTAACATGGAATATTGTGATTAAGAACAGGAAGCGGAAAAAACTCTTTCTATTCCATGGCAGCATTGTAATAGGTTAAAATCCAATCAGATCTGACCTTCTCTGATCGAGAAGGTCAAGTTGGGAAAAAATAACCAGAATAATGAGTTTTCATCTGAAGCTAAAGTAAGCTAAAGTTTGAAGTAGTGTTACCAGCCTGAACATAAGACAGTTAGAATCATCAGTACTTTAACATGAGTCTATCAAGGAGAACTAAATGTCATGACCTAACTCACACATGTGGTCATGGTGTGGCTTATTCATTTCAGGACATTTGTCTGGCTTTAGAGAGAAGCAAGGTTTTAATGAAAATACTAGTAATACTTTCTAATTATTACTTATAATTAGTAAGATAGCACATATGAAGACTAGGTTTATCACAAACAAGTACTTGCAAAGTTTCCAAGGACTCAATTCCTACAAGGAAAGAAAGTCACCTGTGTTTGCTGCATCATCTGTAACACATATATTAATTATGTTATATATATGAACTTCAAGGTTATACAATATCAGCACCAAGGTTAAAAAATAGTTGTATTAAGTTAAAGTTTTGTTTTCAGCTGCATTACACTGAACCGGGAATAAACATATAGCATTCATCAAAGTTAATCAGATGTGTTAATTAAAGGGGAAAAAACCTGTGGCTCATAATTTAATATTCAGAGATTGTTCACGTGCTTCTGCCTGCTATCACAGTGTCCAAAATGTAAAACCAGACCATTTCATAGAATACAATTCTCTTCTGCTCACATGTAAAGTAGAATTCTTTGTTGATAAAGGTGGGCAAAAGGTCAATCTAAACATCAAAGATTTGAATTTAACTGCTGAAATATATTCAGAAGTGGAAATGAAATCCTTCTATGATCATGAAAAATTCTGAATTTTTTTCATTCCTCAATACTTGAGGAATATTGAGAAACAAAAGAAAACAGGCATTTTTCTCAGGCATAAGCACAGACTAAAGCCCATCACTGAAAAATTAACTTATGATTGTGTTTTATTAGGTGCATTGCCCGGGAAGCTTTCTGTTTATTCTCATCAGCCTGCTGTCCTCTGCTATTATAATTTACAAGTGCATAGGCAATTTAATATATCCTTGTTTGAAACACTTCAGAATCTACTGGCAGTTTTCACCAGTAGCACTGTGGATTTGTTCTTGCATAATTGCCTTTAGCAAGTACTAGGGTTGAAGGATTTTCAAATTCACATGAAAGGAGAGACTGATTAGAGTATGCTATTTATGATGATAGCACTAAATTTCACTGTTTCCCTTCAGATTCTCAATACAGGTGGTCCTTTGCTATCATGACCCTTTCCTAACGTCTTAGCTCTCTCAGAAAGGTAACACAAGTGTGTCTAGAACCAGATTTTGTTGCCATGATTTCAGAGTGCACTGAAATAACTTTTCAGAAGTAAACACCATTATTTAATACCATCAGTGCACACCATCAGTAAGGAAAAAAATAATATGCAAACCATAACTGTCAGAAAAGAGCAGAAACAGAAGGGATTAGAAAAGTGGCTCAAGAGAGGAAATATTCTGATTTAATTATCATCATACTAGTACACTTATTTTCCCACATATCACCTTTTTTCTAGAATGATGCACAGTGAGATGATTAAAATACTAATTTGTGTGAGTCTTAATGCAAATAAATAATGCTAATAATCTTTTCTTTGAAAAGTTAAGAAGTCTGTTCAGTGTCATGTAGTCACCCAAAATTTGATTCTAGAAACCCATAGCTAAAATCTAATGTTAGTCAGTAAATTTTAACTGTGCATATCTTAACAGTGACAGTCCCTCAAAGTCAAAGCAATACCCTTCACTGATCAGGACCTACAGGAAACAAAGTGGAGTTTTTTTCAACCTTTTTAACTAAGTTTTATCATCTTGTTATATACACAAGAATGGAATGACATAGCAGCTTAGTCTAGTGTCTTGTCTGCAGGACAAGCAGACAACAATGAGAAAGGAGTATAAACCACAAAAACTGTAAAAAAAGTCAAGTGACTATGTGAAATTACAATCAAGTCCAAACCAAGTCTAACAACTTTTTGCTATAGCAAGGAATAAATTGTAAATTATCCAGTAATGCAACAATTTTTTAAAATATAGTCCTTTTCTAAACTGAGAGTTTTAAAAAACAGTAAGGTATAAATCTTGCACTAGCTATGTAATCTGCATGTAAACCAAAGCTTTTCTTAATCTCATTAATGTCAATTCCAGGGCTGTGTCTCCCTAACAAACTAACTAAAATGAATAGCTATTTTGTCTTGAGCAAGGTCCAGCTTCTAATTGTCTGATGTAAGTAGTAACTGGATTCTTTGTTTAACTATGTCTTTGTTTAAGAAGTGTTTCTTTTTTTCAGAATAGGAAAACTGCCTGTTATCCTTTATGTTCAATTCTGCTGTGCCAAACGTCTTTTCAAACATTTAGGCTCCTATTTTCTTGTTTGTTTGTTCTGCTGTTTCACACAGAGAAAGGCAGCAATGAGAAGTAAATCGGGCAGACAAGAAGCTCTGTACTTGTCAGATTTTTGTTTTGTGCTGCCACATTTGTCACTTTGGCATAAGGATAAGCACTGTTCTGCGCATGTCCTCAGCTAGTAAAGTCCAAAGCAAAAAGCTGAAAATGAAAGCTTTCAAGCTTTCCTCATACACAGTCCTGCCTCTGATGCCTCTGCTGCTGGCTCCAGGGATGCAGATGCTCTCATTTTCATGGCCTATTCAGGGTATCCCAAGGGAATTGCATTATTCTCAGTTTGGTGCATGCATCCTCAGAGATGAGATCAGACTTCAAAAATCCCTTCTGACCTCTGTTTCTCATATATGTGCCATTCCTGACATTTTTCTGCCCTGTCTCCCAATTTTCTCATAGAAGTTCCTCTTAAGGAAAGGTGCTTCGTTTGCTCTGATTCAGTGTACCTGGGTCAGTTAAAAAGTCATCAGGGCAGTTAGGGAGTCCAGGGATTTGAGGATGTGAGAAGAGGACAAATAGTTGCACTTTATGAAAGCTGAAAAGTGAGAGTTTGAAATTTAGAGGATTGGTGCTGGCTAGAGACTGTGACCATATTCACCTGTTGGCAGAAAGACTTAAATTATGATGAAAAAAAGTCTTAAAAAGAAGGTTGAGAATTGTTATGCTATATTGACAAGATCCTTAAGATACTCCTTTCTATGATGGCTGTAGGAAGAGTTTTAGTCTCTGGACCATCTTCTAATAAAGTTTTTCTGTATTGTACTGTGTTCTCTATCTAGCTATTTGATACATAGTTATACATATATTGTT